CTTTATGTATCGTATGTAATATCATCATATTTGGATGTTCAATTAGACTATCAAGAGAGCAGTACTTTTCTCTTAAGCGTCATTTCGGGAACGATTCAATAGGCTACGGTTTGCGCATTAATTCGCGCGAACTATTTAGCGGCGGTTTATAGGTGGGAATCTCCGCGTAAATCGTAGCGCTCGGCAACTTGAATAGCGGACGAACGAACGATCGTTTCGCGAAATTGCCCTTATATCTAGCGACCGTTGCACCCCCGATAATGGAACGAAACGTTCGGGTGTCGTCAAACGCAAATAGATCCGACGTGCGTGCACGGGGTCGCAAACGTATGGCCGCCGAGTCGCGTCTCCGGGTTACGTTTTACGGTCGTTTCCCTGCTGAAAGGCTAATAAAGGGAGGAAAATAATTCCCCCAGCGAAGCAGATTTAATTACGAAGCGTGAACCAATATTCGCCCCACGTTCTACGCACGCCGATAGTAAAACCGCGAACCAGTGGAGGAATAGACGCAGCAATTTAGTAATGCAGTTTCGTTCACCGATGTCGCGCCGGATTGAAATCTACTTTTTAAAATCATCGTTACCCTCAAAAGTCCATATCGTACCGTGATTCGCAGGGACGGTACAACCACGAAATAATGAAATTGCGTTCGGATCGCGGCAACGAGATTCCTTTTCTTTTGTCCGGTATATCCTCGCTATGACCTATATTCTTGTTTTCTTTCTTCCTCCAGTAAACTCCATACGTTGATTTATCGTTTCAAAGAAAGCTGCGCCGCAAATTAAAGAATCAAGAGGTGTATTTCTAATAATATTTGAAACATTTATAAAAAGTACTAAGTAAAGAATATTAACGCGAAGATCTGGAAGGAGGATCGCCATCTGCACGCAACGCGCGCGACATAAAATTTAATCCGTTGAAAAAACCGTATAATAAATAATCTCGTGCAGTAAAAAAACACGTTCGCAAAGTGCTTGGTCAGTCTTGTGCATTGCATATATCGTTTGTTTATAAACGTGCAAAACGGTACTTCGCAGAGATGGTCGGGAGATAATTTCCAGCGTAAAGGCAAGCAAATGAATCTCGTTTGAGTAATTCTATCGTGGGTAAATACTCGCGGGCGGCAATCGAAATCCGCTGGCTTGGCCGGAAAGGCTTTGGACCAAGTGAAATTCAGTTAACGGGCGTCATTTGATGTTACAAAGAGGCTTACGCGAGGGTGTTACACGGCAGTGTCAATGAGCTTCCTTGGTCAGAGGCAGGCCGTAGTTAGAGCACGGACAGGTAACTCGCCGATATACGGATCCAAAACGGAATCAACGGATTTCGCGGTTGTTTACGAGCAATAACTGTCGTTAGTACGTCCTTACGGCTCTATCCTCCACGCAACCCCTTACTACGACTTGCCGAAGGGCGGCTCTCTCTCCAGGGGTTCTCCTTTGGCTGATCCATTTAACGGGAAACGACTTTTTCTACTCCCGATATTACTTTCACAATAAATCCGCGCACTACGTGAGTTCAACTTTTATTTACCCCCGCGGGTATGCAACATTTGTGAAATACCCCGGGCGTTCTGGCATTGTTTATAACTCGACATAGTGGAAAAAGCGATTGCTACTTCGACCTGAAAAAATTCTATTATCTTCAAGACAAAAATTAAATTATGTACCGGTAAGTCGTACAATTGTGTTCATTATTGTTTGTGTACATGCAAAGTTACTATGAAATTTAGGTGTATGTGAAATTTTGCTTGAAATTATATTACCTGAAAGTAACAATTACGAACAATAATATATAATACAAATAACACATCCGATGTGAAAAAGACAGCCACACGAATTTACCTTCCTTAATTACTTGCAAAAATAACTCAAATTGATTTCATTTCGTAAAAAGCTCGACTTAACTATTTTAGCAAAATACGATAGAACGGTTACAGTTGTCACCGCAGGGAGATCGTTGGACAATGAATGAGCACCGGCCAGAGATCGAGCAAAGCTCGAGACGTTTCAAAATGACATTGGTCAGAGACTAATAGGGCAAGGGGATCTATTGATAGTAATTACTAGACTCGCTCCTTTGAGGCTCGTCGATTGGCACAACTTGCCCGCCGAATTGCCGTGAACCTAAAATAGCCTGAAACGTCATGTTAAATTTACCGACTATATTGTACATTTTCGATGTACTTAATTTTAAAAATTCATCATGTACAGACTTCAGTTTTACTTTGATGGGGTTTCTTTTTGTTGCTCTAGAAGGCATGACTCCCGAAGAAATGAAAAGTATAGCGGATTATGAGGAAGTCGAATGCTTGGTCGATAAAGATGTAATCGAAAATAAATGTGTTAGAAGGATAAAAAATAAAGCGATGGCTTCTAAATCTTCTAATTTTGGTCTCGCCCTTCGATTTGTATGTTCCAATTACTGACCGTTAGGATTTTTAGTACATTGTAAATTGATGCCAACCAATTAGGTATCAAAGTCCCTTAACATAGCAAATACTATACGAAGCATTTTCTGCGTTGCATGTAGAAAGTCGAGATAATTTTTCCTTCGTGAAAGTTTTTGTATAATTGACGAAACCACTCCTGTATTTTTCTATCGTATTTGGTATCCAACCAGGGGTTGATGATCCTTACGATTAAAACCGCAGAAAAATATGGAAAAACAGAGCTGATCGGAGCAATGGTATGTCTAAGAAGATGGCGAATACTAATTACGGCTATCCTACGAATTCGTGCGTACAAAATAAAATCGGTTTTCTATAGGAAACCAGGTAACTCGATTATTTACGGCACGTGAAGCGAGCTCAGCGTCCTTCCCCACAGGCTCGTGCGCCATTGTATGTTGGACATTTTTACGGCTCTTGTGGTTTATATACCCCATTACATAAGAGCGAGTTTACGAGTCGGACCTTCAAGGAAACGTGTCACCGCCGACTGACTTCTGGCAATGTCGCTGTTATAGCTGACTAGCGGAAACGCTCCGAAGTTTCTTTCCTCGTCAACCGAGATCGCATTTCCGTCCACTGTTTGCTTGCATGCACAAAGCTGGCCGAGATTAAACGCAAACTACCCTTCCACATCTAACAAATCGAGTGCTCGATGTTTGATACATTCAAGGTAGAAATTCATATCGTCAGGAAGAGAATAATCGCTCATAGTTGCAGTTGTAAATTATTTCCTGAAATTTGATAATACCGATTGTAAGGGTAACTACCTAGACACCACACCAATGACCAAAAGATGTCTAAAAATTATGAATTTTCCGAAAAGTCATTTTTTGGTTATAGCATATAGTCGACAAAAAGAAGACGAAAAGATGCGTTATACCCCGTATTTTGGTATCTTTTAGTGAAGTCTAAAAGATGACGGTACGTCATCCTTTAGTCAAGATAAAAAAAATGACAAAATTCAAACATCTTTTCGTCGGTTTATATTGAACGCTTTTTCGTTGATTCAGAGAATAGTTTTCGACGATCTCTCCTTAGCACTCACTCCTCGGGCGGGACGATTATCTCGTGGGGTGGATCTAGAGTGTGGGCATTCGACACAGTGGAAGGGAATGGTATCACGACTGCAACGTAAAACCAGGAACGAGACTTGTAAACGAAGGAACTACGTGGACCACTTGCGAGGAAACCACGCAAGGGTCATCTATCGGTCCTGACGAAACTAATTGCCAAGGCTGTTTCATCGGTCAATTTCAATTATCAAACGGAATAAAATAGCAAATGATAGTAGACCTGCACAGAGGACTCAAGTGCGCTCACGATTCCTCATGAATTCTCAGAAAGAAATACGATTTTCCTAAGCGAAATATATATCGGATGTTCGTTCAATTCGTTGAAGGAACAGGAAAATAATTGGGCTCCTTCCGAGCAAGAGAGCGCATCTAAGAACTATTTTATTCTCAGAATACGAGAAGAGGACGCGTACTCCGGACGATCCCGGTCAATAGGCCCGAGAGCCTTAAGCGGATACTCAACCGCGACTCACTGTCCTCGCTTACCCCTTTCCGTCGCCCAGCCTCCTTCGGACTCCTGGTTCCGGTCGCCCCGGGGTGGACCTCAATAAATAAATAAATTAATTAATAAATATCTCATCGCCAAACTCTTTCACTTAATCCCCCTCACCCAGACGTAACACCATCTATCGATTGAAGTCACCGTTCCCTCATTGGTGGCCGCTATGTAGATATCAATTCGATGCGAACGTCGACCATTGATTTTTCACAATGCAAGCAATGAATGAAAAATCCAAATATATAGAATAATTAGTAGCCATTTATTATGTGTCCATGGATTATGTATTTCAGTCCGAATAAAGTCCAATGGATTTGAACATATTACTCAACGTTTCAATAAAAAAGAAATAACCGTTGTCATAGCGGACTGAATTTCGAAGTATTTTGCAGGATGCAGAGACGCATGCTGGGGGATCGACATAAACCCCTGAGTACAGATTCATGCCAATATGTATATCAATAGTCATCAAGTCTCCATCTGTAGCCGTACCATGTGAAGTATTACGGCCCGTTCCATGAAATCCAGATAAAGCTAGGCATAACCATGACGGCTTTATTCCGCAGTAAAAACCCGACTCTTATTTAGTTTAAACTGCAATTTGACCTAAAAGCATCGTCAAACGGACTCCCTTTAAGTTTTACCATGTCAAGTGCGGACACAAAAATTTCCCCGAATTTTGTGTACCTAAAATTCGTCGGTGCTGCTTATCCTCCACGAAACGAGTTTTGCTCGGTAACGATTTAATTCAACGATCGAATATATTCGGTAACGAGTTAATTTAACGCATGAAAAACGGAGGCAATAATGTCTTGCCAGAAATTAAGAACCGGACTCAAATTACAGATATTGCATATTTTTGCGGTTGAGGATTTAGATCGTATACTTACCTATTCGTCGTGTCGCAGTCTCCTTTTGTGCGATGTCCGATAGGTTTCTAAATCTACAGAGAAAAGGATCTTTTTGTCACGCTGATAATACTCAATTTAATTTATCACTCACGGTGTAACGATTCGTGTTACGTCGTAAGGCAGAACGATGCGATAACCGTTTCGATACTTAGCTCGAATAATGCGGCTGTACAGTAAGTACTCTTAATTGTTTAAAGTTTAGCGAATTTTCGACATTAATTCTCGTTAAGCTGCGGCGCTTAATTATACATCGACGAAGTTCTCGAATGTTTTCTCTTTCTCAGCTACCGTCCCAGAAAAAAACAACCGTTGACATTTGTACCGAAATAATAAGTAGACTATTATCAAAATTAGTTACCGATTCCATGTTGCAGGCCATTATAGGCATCGCTGTCAAAACAGTGATTCCGAAACGCGATTATTATCGATTGAGTGATAAATACCAATAAGCATCAATTTGCTACAGAGGTCATTTTCTCTTTAAGAAATGAGACGTGGGCAATTTATCCAGAAAACACGAGTGTGCCGATAAAATTGGTCCTTCGGTGTTCTTTTTTTTCTGGGGTGAGCTCGAAACCCGTCGAGATCCGCAGCCTCCTCGCACTCGTCGGACTTCGGCGACATGCGTTACACATTACTTATTTACAAATGGCAAGTAAGAACAACTGCAATTTGCGAGTGATATGAACTGTATACTTATGACTAGGTTTCTCTTCCCTTTGCGACATCTCGTAAAGTCGAGGACGACATACGTGTGATTGCGTGTGCGTGCGCGCGTGCATCCGCCCGGATTACACGATTCGGCATATGTATACCGTATGTACACTTATGTACACGTTTAATAGAATCCCGAAGGACCAACACCGAAACGGAAACTCGTTGGAAAGCATCGCGTGTCCAACGAGACCTCCAATTTCGACATAATTGTTTTCGCAAGATGATCAAATCTCGCTACAAAGGGAATTTATTATTCACCAATAGAGGGGCAGTAAAAATTGTTTGGCTAACATGCGTTCCGAGATTCTCCTTTCAAAACACGTATCGAAGAATTCGGTTATTAGTTTGCTTTGTCGGCTAAAACAGTTATACTGCTCCTGTATGTTACCAAGCGAGTTTATTTTCCGCGTTTAAAGAGAATTCGAAAAGTTTCCTTTGTGGATATGAGAATGAATAAAAATAGAACTTTGACCGTAGAGATTAAAAATGCGGATTTTTATGTAAGAAATGAATTTTTAACGAAAGCAACGAAACGTCCTTTTGATTCATACGTCTGTCGGAGGAAACGACCTCGTTACTCCAGATTGCGAATATTTTAACACTTCTGCAAAATGACTCGAATTATTGTGTAGTCTCGATTAACGATTGGGACGCTTTCCTGTCGTAAAAAAACATATTAAAATCATTCCAGAATGAAGGGATGTAACCTCTTTAAATTCAAAAATCTATTCAATTAGTAGAAAAAGGAAAAAATGAAAAACTACCTTACGGAGTTAACGTCTGTTGCAAGTATAGAAATTAACTGGCATTATAAGCTTCCGCTAGATTTATTAATCTGTCATTCCGTGAATTCCACCAGGAAAATTATACTCAGAAAGTAAAACTATAATGTCATTAAAAGATTTCTTTGAAAGCTCGACAAATATTACCTCATAATTACTTTTCGATAGAAGCGTATATCGCGAGATGACATTTCGGATCGAATGCAAAACCACTGCTATGAATTCGCATCCGGGGGAGAATTTTCGAATTTTCTTATAACTGTTTTTAAAATCTTTGCACGTTCTATTCGAGGAATTTTTACTTTTTAACCTTTGTCGACCGAAGTATTAACGCACGTTTAGGTCAGGACCACATGAGCGTCGTTTCAACGTACGTTACGACGAAGGTACGTTTGAACGAATATACTCGTGTGGAGCCATGAGCGTTAAAAATCACGTGCGTTCCGACGGATTTTACAATTGTGGAAAACGTGCGTCGCTTTCAGCTGAGGCCATACGAGCGTTTTGCTGGCGTTCATTGCGATGGACGTACTTCGAACGGACGTATTATCGATGCTCGTGTGGCCGACTTCGTTTGGAACGATGCGTACCTGTATTACGTTAAAATGTGTGTGCCGCGTCACGACGTCCGTCGTAGGAGAAATGCGTCGCTTATAAGATTGCACGCGTTGCTACGCGCGTCGGAACCGATGCAGGAGAGATCGGATATAATTTTAACGCCGTCCAATGTAACATTGGTTATAAGTAAGACAAATATTTATGTAAAAAGCCGACAACACCGTTACATGTATGCGAAGTTATCCCAAACGATCTCTCAAACGATCAATTAGAGATTGTTTGGGTGAACAACAGTTTTCCTATCCATGTGGCATGTGATCGTAAAGACTCGGAATAGATAAGCTATGATTGGCGTTTCTTTTTCAACGAGTTTCTTTATATTTCGTATTATTTTATAATAATTATATTGGTCTTTCACGTTTTATCGGTTACACTTGTAACGAGTGTCAACTTTGACTTGAATCATTTTTTTCTATACCTCGTAACAAAGGTAACTGTAGTTAAGTAATAAAATCTTATTGCTAAAATCACAACTATAGCACGAAATTTGTTTACTCAAATGTTTCTGACGCGTGTCAGGTTTGACGCTCGCGTGGCCCCAACCTTAAAGAGCCATCGCGTGTAACCGGTCATATTCCCCACAAGTCAACACGGTTACATTGAATCCATTGTTCAACAATGTTAGATAAAAACTGACGAATCGAGGTGTTTTCGGTCGACAAAGTGTCGGTACCCTTGATATGCATTAGAGTAAAAGCACGATATGCCGACTATGAGCGCGGTAAAGATTCCCGGAACAACCTGGCTACATACAATGTTTATATACAATGTGGACTCGGGAAAGAGGGCGCACTCGGTGCGTAAATTTCGCTATTTACATGATTCAACGAGGACAGCCCGGAAAAAGCGTTCAGCTTTCCGTCACTCGGAGTAGGGGGTGCATATTTACAGAAATAACGTGCACTCCGATGGTAATGTGTGTGCATACGGTCGACACGGAAGGAATCGCATTTTTTGGGCTGGAGTCTTCTCTTCGAGGAAAACGGAACGAGGGCAGACCAATAATCCCTTTTTCGCAACCCACCGAAATGCCCCTCAATTTCTTCTGTGCCGCATTTTATTAATTAGAAAATTTAAAAGCGATTATTTAACTAAAGTAAGTATCTACGTTACTTCGAATCTAATTGGAAAAGCATTATATCATTTTGGAGCTATGTGATGTATGAAAGAATTTAGTAAAAATTTAGCGAAATTCATGGCTGACTTATCGTGTGGTCGTCATCGATTGGTGACTGATTGTGAGGAATTCGTTTACGAGTAGGTGTCGAGTCGGAGCGATTGGGTCTTCCTTGCTAGTGGATTCTTCCGAAACTACGAAAGTATCCATTTTTACCGGATTTTTAATTCTTAATTATTTTTTTCATTCAATTTTCCCCCGAGCGCGTAATGCGTTCTTGCATGAAATCGCAGGTAGACCGTGATCTTTCGCGCGTTCGCAACGATACTCCTTACGTTTGGCATGTGGAAGATAATCGTTTCCCCCGTAGAAAATACTATATAGGAAAAGGAACATGAACACCTCTATGAACCACTCCCAAAAGTTTTTGCACCTTGGGTGAAAGTACCAGGGTTTATCGCCAAGAAAGTATCTTTAAAACCAATGTACCATCCTCGCTTGGTAGAACGTAGACATCTTCCGCTCAACAATTTGAAATTTTCGAAATAAATTCCTACGTCCTGTCACGAACAATAGCATTCCAGTTCAGCACATAATCGTTCCATAATCTCCAAAAATAAAACACAACTACTCGTAAACTCCAACTCCAAGTTTTCCCACTTATACCTTAGTCATCCAGACCTACGTCTATCCCACTAGTCGTCAACAAGAACGTTCTCATTTTTTTGAACGAAAATACGATACCTCTTTTCTACCAAACGAGTAAAGTCTCACGCGAGCCCTACATCGGACCGAATTCTTGGACCAGCCAGACCAGTGCCAATCTATACAGTCACCTCTTCGGAGAACCTGCTCTTGTCGTCCAGATTGATAACGATTGCGTGCGTCCTGGCGTGTCCCGATTTACTTTTTCTTTCCTTGGCCGAGTCCTCCCTGGATTTGGCATCTGCAACCTCTTCCCCTGCAGCCAAGACCTGGTGTTCCCTGGAAGCCACCTCGTCCTTCACCTTCCCGTTGCTTCCTGGGCCCTTCTTGTCAGCTTCCTCGGCAGGCTGGGCGTCCCCGTCGCCGTCTTTCTTCTTCGGGGACGACGTCGTGGTCGCGGAGTCCTCCAGGCTGTTCGACTTTTTCGTCGATTTTTTCTTCTCTGCACTTTCCGAACCGGAATCCGCGGAGTTCGCTCGGTTCCACCCGGAGCCGTTCTCCACCTTGACGTCAACTTTTTCGGTCGTCAGGCTTGTCATGCTATTTAATCTTAGGGATGAACAGATCGCCTGGATGGTCGAGACCTGGGTTTCGGCACGATTCGCGGCTTCCTGCATGGCCGTGATCTTGGCGACCAGCTCCCTGTTTCCGGACCGCATGTTCCTCTCTTTGAGGTGCTCCAGTTGACTGCACAGTCGTCGGAACTCCTCCTGAAAGCGGAAGGAGTCGAGTTTGAATGACGGTAACGGGGGATAGTTAAAGTTTGAAGTCTCGGGGAATGTTCCAGACTTTCTTCGCAAGGACATTCGTTCTTAGACTTTCTGGGATTTTTTTATTAATGCTGCCATTGCGGTCAAAGTTGGCGCGCGGTCATTTATTTCGCGAAACTCGGAAAGGTTATGTTTTCGTAAGGTTTCTAAGATGCAGTAAAAAATGCGGCGGTGACCTTTTTTAAAAATCATCCGTCACGCGTGTCTTCGCATTAGTATCTCGAATCCCATGACCCGCTTTCCAGGGCGTTTTAATGTGTCTCTGGGTCAGCCGAAAAATTCAGGTCGCATGGCAGAACGCGTTCCCATTCCCAGTTTTCCCTAGAGGGCAACGATGCATCAGCGTCGCGACTTTGAGAGAGCCTGCTGACCTCGGGGAAACTTTTAAAAACCCTCCGAGACTCTTTATCACATTCAATGCACAATTATAAAAATGTATTCCCGCCGCATCTTATCATTTATTATCTCCTCCTGTATAAATGTGATTTACAACGAGTCCTTCCTCGGATTACAAGGCGTGGATGCAAGTGCACTCGTGTACAGGGCAGGTGCACTCTTTCCAAGCTGATTCGAGAAATGGAACCTTTTCTTGTGAAAACCCTCGATCGAGCCCGAATGTACAGGTGCTAGGATGCCCTCCGGGATCGTCAACTCGAACTTCTCTCACGAACCGGGGAGTAAGTTTGATCCGTCGTATCTCTATCGACAAACTCCTCAAGTTTCCTTAACGTTGGCCATTCGGTACCCACGGCTGATCTGACGCAGGAAAGAAAAAAAAGGGAAACGGACAAGGAAACGTCTCTCCCTCTTCCTCGCGGTAACTTTTTAAACGCCCTTTCAGAGGCCCAGTTACCTTTACGGATTACACCTGGAATCGCCGCGGAAGTTTCACGGGCGCGTTAATCTCGGCGGGGATTAACGAAGTGTGAAGTGTACTTCGTTACGCGTCTTCCTCGGCCGGGACGAGCCAATTCATTTTGACGACGTCGTAAGCATCGACGGTGAACTAGGGAATATATATTTATAAATACGTACATATATTATATATGATATACCGACCCTCTTCCGACTTGCGGCCCTGCGTCGACGGGATATTTCGTGCATCCCAATTATACCCGGCCTGCATCCTGCCCAATCATACCTACATCCAAGAGGATTTTTCGACCCCCAATGAGGGAGCCGCGTTTAAAAAACATTTCCGGGCCGCTTACGTTCAAAGAAAAAATTTAGTTTTTAGATTTCATCTCTGGCAAGACATTTTCCGACGTCTTATAATAATTATTTGCATGGATCTAGGGCGGACGAGGACAGATCGTGGGTGAACGACTTTTATGCACAAAAAATGCTTTATCGCATTTTCACTTTATCGTGGTCATTCCCGGCATACGGGTAATCATCTCATACGAACGCGTCACGAAACATGTGCATTAAATGCGTATAAATAACCGAGTCAGGGTCTAGGGGCAACGCATATACGTAATCGACGATCCCTCTCGCCTTATCGTTCCATGTATTATACCGTGTTACATGATGTATGATTGCGTGCAGCTGGTACTGTCCCTTCTACCCACGGGCGCGCATACGTTCCGATTTAAGTTCGAAATTCAGGGTTGACAAGACATCCGTTTAGAAATTATTTTAAATAGGAAATTCACTTTATTTCCCAAGAGGGTGGTAATTAAGAGTCTTCGCCGTTAGAATTACCTTTTCTCATCGAAAATAGATGGTGTTAAACATAATTATTAGAATATTGTTTGTATACAATTTGTAACTCTTTTTAGATTAAAAGAAGTAGCGAGTGCTTCTCACCGTTACACCGTCGCTGTCTTCGGTGAAGTTACCCTGCTGCAAGGAGATCGAGTTGGTCTGATTGCTGGTGCCTTGAGCTCGGCAAGATTTTCCGACGAATTTCCCAGTGGCACCGGAAAGTTTACCCAGCGAATCCTCCTTATCGTCCCCGCGAAAGACGACGTATGCCTTGCAGGGAAAGTAGAAAAAAAGGAACGAGAATCAAACATTTATTTAAAGGAGACGAGCTGCGGACACCCCTGCCAAAGGTGTATTCGGTGACTGGCAAAAATGTAATTCACCTTCTTCATAGCAGAATAAAGAGCCCATAATGTGATATTGAATCTTCTCTTCTAATTACCCGAAAGTCGTAATACACATTTTTTTCTTTGTATACTCAAAGTTCACATTTAACCCAATATATCGTAGAATTTGAATTTACTTCTCTTTACTTCGCTTCTCTTGCCATCTTCAACATTAATTTCTAACCCTGTCGAACCTTATCCCTGAAAACGATATATATTACATTCGAATGTCTCCCATAGTTTCAATGAAACTTTGCATTTTTATTCAAACGTTCAAACTTTAGCCTGAAAACTCGGCGAAAGACGTTTCTTATAAGTCGCAGTTCTTTCCCCTGGTTCTACCTGGTTCTAACCGACGCAAAACTGCGACTTTTTCGCGAAGTGCCGTCGGCGAGTCACAACTTTAACAATTTTTGACCGAAAATGTAAAGTTGAAAGGAGTTGGACCCGAGCGCCCGTTGCATCACGGTCCTTGCTAAATCCTGATGCACCATCCGTGCTTCAATTCCTTTTCAAAGGATTTCTTCGGATAGAATCGAGCCGCAGTTGGCTTGCTGCGAACTTGCAACATGCACCTCGACCCCCCTCGATGCCAAACGGAAAACTAATGCTCGGGACGTGGGCAGGTAAACGACAGGGGATACCCTCGGCACGTATCCATTGGAATTCTCCGACATGGTCCGTGGGCAAAGCCGGGACATGTTTCCGAGTCGTGATATCACCTCGCCCTAAGTATAATCGTGTTCCTCCAATGTATAAACACCTCCAAACAATCCGTGACAATTGTCTACTTTGTTAAATCTCGGCTAAAATTCGATGCCTTTTACTTCCCGACCCTTATTAAAGTTTTGAACAATTTCTTTTACCAAATTTCTCTACTTCCTGCTTTTAAGGGATCTCAAAAGTCGTTTTTAGAGGCAAGAGAACTCGAAAGATAAGGAAAGGTGCAAAAGTAAAAATGTTTTCTTCCGGGCCTTACCTTGCTGCCAAAAATCAGACACAGGAGAAGTGTCACCGTCAGTTGGGTGTGACAGAAAAATATGATGTACAGCAAATCCGGATTGGCCGGTGATTGCAGGAACAGCCTGCCGACAGAGGTGCGGAATTATTCCGCGGGCGTCACGAAAGCTCGGAAATTCGCAAGCACACCTCGTGGTTTCAAGGTACATGGAAAGAACGTTCCGATATTACGCTGCCGTTATACGCGGATTCCGAATACGTATGATTTGTTACGCCTTCACCCAACGACGACCACAACGGTGGAAAACCGATTTTGCGGGGTAATACGTAACCCCGTCTTCGGGCTGGAGCTGAATTTATTCCGCGCTTTCTTCGATGTCCCGAAAGGAAATAATTCAGCGGAACGTTCGGGTTTAGATCGTTCCGACTTGTCTCAAAGAGGGCCGAAGGGCTTCCAAAGTCGTCTTAATCTAAATTTAAGCTTACTCTTTTCCTCGAAATACGACGAACGAGGGCACCTTGATCCGCGTTTAATTTCGTTTTTACTTTTCGACTTGGCACCACAACCCCTAGATATATTTTTGTTCATTACTATTCTATGTACCTATCTATTACTATACTATGTACCTAGGGTGGTAAAAGTAGGATCGGGAAGACCGAGGAACATTAGACCGGTCCGGGTGGGCACATTCCCATTTAAAACTGTGTATTTAACCCCCCCCCCCCCGGCGTTTTTCTGGACCAATCCGAGCCGATTTCTAATGTGTTTCAGCCTTTAAAAAAGGAAACATACAAAGAATTTCGTCGATCAAACTTGAAAGCTATTTGCAGAGTACGGCAAAAGATACGTTACAATTTTTGGTCCGTTGGATCTCTAGGGATGCAGGAGGTATGTCATAAAATACGCTCATGTCCGCAGATTTACTGCAAGGATGAAGACGCATCCCGACCTTAACCGATTGCCATTTCACGTCTGGAGGATCTTCGCACAACTCAAGACGTATCAAGTACCGAGTACTTTAATATTTACACGGAGAAAATTGTATGATCAGAATTTCCTGAATTTCTGGCAATCATTCCTATATCATGTGGTAACTTGGAGACCCGGGGGTTTTCTAGCAATACTTCCTTAAAGACGGATTTAGTCATTACTATGCTCGTTTAGTAACTTGGCAGGGTGTTACCGGGCAGTTTCCTGGTCCGCATATGCACGTCGTCGTCATCGTTTAAAACGTTTCTTTTTGCCATTGGCCTCGTATGGATCGAATCCTGTCTCCATCCCGGACGAGCTCCCTAAGCATAGGATTCGCGAAAAAAAAAAATCGTTCCTTTGGGTAACCGGGCCAAGAATCTTGATCTTATGAATGAATGAATATGAATCCATAGAAATGAATGATGTATCAATATTTTATAGAGTTCAGAAATATTATATATCGCCAAGGTTGTCCGTTATTCAAACAAATTTTGAACTATTTAGGAACATGCATCGTCGGTAAGTTAATTTTTTCCTTCCTTGAAGCAAGAGTTATTGCTCTTTCCTTAAACTGCGATATTTGGCGCCGTTTAGTACGGATTCCCTAGACGGTGTGTAATTAACCAGTCATTAAAAGTTTCCAGTGAAAGCTGCAATGTTGCCAGAAGTGAGAGCCGAAAGAAAGTCAACCTAGTTAAAGATACGAACTTCTTCTTTGGTCGGCCCTCGACCGGCCAAGTTTCCCAGTTGGCGATTAGTTAAAATCGTAAAAAGTGCATCTTCGACCTCCAACTTTTAATAATCGTTTAAACGAAGGATCGGCGAAGGGGAACTTACATCGAGACGTTTAGGAAGACCGAGAGCAGGAATTCGTTGTAAATGGCCATGGATATGAATCGGCTTTCGTTGAACTCCGATGGGGCTTTCCTCACGACGATGCACAGTCTGATGCCCCATACGAGAAACATCACTTCAACTGCAACAAAACCGAGAACAAAATTGATAGAACGTGCAATATCAATTATCTATAATCATACGCATTCAAATTGATTTTTTTTTTATTTAATTTGTCTCAACCAACACTTCCAATATATACATCCAGGTGAATAATACATTTTAACCGCAGATAGATTTATCAGTATATGATGGGCATTTGTTTTGTAGATTAATTATACGATTATCCGTCGATAGGAATTGTAAATAATACGAGGTGTTGGGGAAATAGCATCGAATTAATGATTTAACGTCAACGTCTTTCAGAGTAAAAGCTCGCCCATGAAATCCCCATCGATTATCTAACGATGCTTTCATTTTGATCGACGAGGTAGCTCACCGACGGCTTGATCAGCGGAAGCTCCCCTAGATTGAGCTGCATCCGGAACATGCTAGCTAACTAAGAAACTTGCGGATTAGAGCAACGATTTTCCAATCTGCTTCATCAGTTTCAATTCTCCAGCCTGAAGTTGTGATATTACGCACGCAGCTATCTGTCATTCAATTCCTATACAAGAGGATTTTCAACGCGCACGAGACGCTTTATGTAGGCATTATAATATAAATGATCGTCCTATTCAGAAAAATTGAAAATAAATTCCATTTTTAAGACAGGATCGAAAATGTCACGTTTATCGGTCATGATTTAGATAGTTTCATTTGAGCCATCAACAACCGATGGGATTTGGATTGTTTGAATATTAGTTTTTAGCCAATAAAAGTTTGTTCGGTTGTACACAATTTATGGGTTGAAGTGCAGCCAAATGCAATATAGGTCCTTTAACATTGCCTGGGGAAAAATAGTTTCTGCAGAGTACTCGCTGTATCGGAGGCGTGAAATTACGTTTTGGAACCTGATGAATTGCCCCGAATGGAACTCGTCCTTGATATACTGCGCGGAGCTGTTTGAAGAGTTTAATTATAGAATTCACACGGGGAGAAAAACCAAATGAACGCGTTTGCTTGCTCCGGTACACTTACGCTATTACGCAGTTTCATGAGGTACGATCGTGACTTTGTACCCGGAAATAAATATAGTAAAATATTTGGTATAAGTGGAAATCGGAATTCTTTGTGTTATTTTTGGGAACAAAGGTCATCCTGAAGCCTTAATGTGTTACATCCTACGTAGTGTACACCTCTAATTACACAATAACAAGGGTTAAAATCGCTATAATCATAAGAATATTTTATAAATTACGGGAAAACTTTTGGCACCAGATGACCCAGCGTGATCTTCCATACTCAAGAATCTTGCGTTACGGTGGGTCGAAATTTTAAAACGAGGTCTTCCAGAGGGCGAACACAATGCTCTCTTAAAGAATTATCCAGGGGAATTAAGACCACCTAAACTAAATCCGGAAGTGAAGGCATCGTTCCCGGAAGGAGCGATTAACAGGGATGTCCGAATGGTAGACAAGCAAGAGAGGTTATTCGCTTGCCTTTCGGCATTGGGACCAACATTATCTTGTTTATTAAAAGAAAGTAAACCGGAAAATCTAGTTACCGAGTGTCATAAGTGACACGAGTCAGCAAGCCTTCGGCGACATGAACCTGTAATCAGAAAATCCCAGATTTTGATGGATCTTAATGCGAGCACGAAGGACGGGCTTAATGCGACTGCCATTTACGAATGGCTATTTGGAAAGGAGTTGAGAGAAGACATAAAGACCCGAGAATTCGTGGAAAAAACGAGCAAAGATTTGAAGAATTCGTCAAAAAGTTCAACAAAACCGGCAAACTGTCTCGTTTCCTGTTAACAAGACAGTGGTACAGGTAAACGAGCGGGCAGAAAAAACAGCTAATTCAACGCAGGTACAACTACCGGAAACCCAACACAGCGAATACGAGGTGAGACAATAGCTGCCCGAAGAGATGCCAGTCCAAGGAAAATTCCTCGCTTAAACAGAAGTCTAAGCCATCCGGTCAAATTTTGAAATCGCATCGATGGGATTTTCACTGACGGAGTACCTTCAACTTCTTCGCCGACTATAATTTAAGCGAAGCCACATAATTTCCTCCGAGTATGAAAATTACGGCGAAAGAGGAGCAGCACCCAGCGCACGAAAATAAGTGGTATACTTCCCGTGAAGAACTTCTTACCGGGTGCAAAGAACTTTTCCTCGAGCTACTTTCGCTTAGGAAACCTTGGAATCAATTTCGCGATCGATTCACCCGTAATTTCCGCAAGACCGAGGGACGGTTTAACGTCGGGCGTTCATTAATACGAACCTGTCGTTGAATGTGCCATCTCGACAAGGTTCACGGAAAACGAAACGTTGACCATTTACTCGAGGTTTTAATTAAAACAAGATAAACACCGTTATTTTCTAGCTCGGTTTCAAGAAAAGGCAAGTCGGAAAGTGAAGTCCAAAAGAGAGAAATCCGAGGTTCATGTAATTGCATTTGAATAGGCCATTTTACCATTTTACATTTTTCAGAAAACTGAAGAATTATAAAAAAGGTGTAGATAAATTTTAAAACATTATTTATTTGAAAACTTTAAAGGGTAATTTCATCCCCTAAATGGGAAATTGGACAACTGTAAAAAAAACACGCGTCCCTTACTTTTCAGTGCTTCGTAACATTTCAAAACGAATCAAATGGAAGCCGGTTACTTGGGTTTGTTTCCGAACGAACGAATATCGAAGTTTACCATAATGTTATATCATGGGACGGTTTACATTTTGGAGGTGAAGTTACGACTGACTCTCCAGGAGCTCGGAGGGCAGGACTGACAATGAGAAAAAGAGGTATTATTCCCTTGTCGAGATATGATTTCCCTGGTAAAAAACTGTAGCATTGGGAAACGGGTTTCAGAGGATCCGGTATCCGGCTGAGGACGCTGAAAAGTTGTAGTATTAGGACACCCAAGTTCATAAAACCCATCATATGATGAAAGGGGTAATCCCACTTCCTCGGTGCTTACAGAAAGTAATTACAACATTTTATTTTAAGACACCTGATATAGACTTGGTTTTAGTTTTGACGAGTTTTTTATTCCGTAACTAAACAAGAAGTGTCTGAAACCGTAATCTCGTTATATATCACTGCCTTTATGTAAAATACATCGGCATCGATAAGTACCTACTTCGATGAGTTTAATATTATGAAATATTAAGCATAACTCAAGGAGGAATAAAAGACGCAAAGTTTAATGTACAAACCGATATTGTTAGATTTATAGTAAAAGTTTTTCTCGTTTTTACGGCAGTCGGGCTCTGTAGCGTTTCCGATTTTATCATGGGGGGGAGTAATGTCAATTCTGTAATGGATTGTAAGCCACCTGTCGTTCGCAGTTAATCATCATCATGCGTCGTAAAAGGTCAGAAGCGGATAAAAACTGTCGTGAACCAGCAGTTGAATGTCAGGAAACGAAGATATAATAGTTCCTGGCACAATGCCTACACCAACGACTCGCGGTTAGCATATGCTAATCAGGAGACACCTTTGTGCACTTTCGATGACGCTCCGTAAAATGACAACTTTATAGCCTCTCTGTGTATTTTGTGATTTCTCCTTCCCATACTTCTTAACGAAGGATAAACAAATACTTTTTATGGAAACGAATTCTTTGCCGTTAATGTTGAAAAGAATGCTTGGAGTGCCTAGAAATAATGGCGATATAAGGTACCTCAGGGTAATAAGGCCCATGTTTATTTTTTACTATAGAATAAAAGTGTTCAGTTTGCAACTCTCTCTGCCAGTCAGTACTACAATCAAGAGTTAATTGTGTGTGTATGTGTGTATGTTGGGGCTGTAGGCAAGTCCATGGTAAACTGAAGTCGATGAGCAATACTTCCGAGTGAAATTTAAAAAATTTGGTTGCAGCGTTCAAGTTTCTTGTCACAAAGTTTTATGAAGTATCGCTCTTTCTAGTAGGTACATAGTACCTTATACTTTTTTCTATATACTGTCATATTAGTTTTGCCGTTTTTGAAATCATTACTTAAAATTTAAATTGCATCGTAGGAACAATAAGGTTCAACATAATGAAGTGTAGCGCAACTAAAAGTATCTTTCAAAAAGAGTGGTTAAGAGACTGTGACGGTACAAGGCGTCGACTTTACATGGATTACATTAAAATGAGCATGCGTTAAGCTCGACTGGTTGAGAAATAAGTACGCTCGGAATCGTTGTCCCCGTGAGGCTCTAAAAAATCGCTGGTGTGGTGAGCGCCCTTAACTGATTTAATGAATTTTATTGAAATAATAACCAACAGGATGAACGGCTGATAGAGCAGACGTGAAAATCATACAATGCGTGCAGAGGACGTACGAAGCAGGACGGAATGGTGTAACAATTCAATTAACTCCACAATTACAATTCATGGATGAAAGGGGAAAAACGCGTACGCGTTATATAATCGACAGTTATCGCGCTCTGTCAGGCCAGTAATAACAGGAAAACAAACTGCAAAATCCTGCTTGAAATTTTGCGAATTATACGGATCACCGAGGCATTTTTAATAAGCGACCTGCAAGTACGAAATTCGATACCAGGACGTATTTTATTCGAAATGCGCTCTCATCTCGGATGGAGGCAACAAATATTTATCGGTTAACAAGTTCGTTACGATTGGTCATCAAATAAGCGATCAACCATATGAGATTCGCTCTGTCGAACGTCGTTTGGTATCTAATTGAGCTCTCGCTCGAACACTCCTTAAATAAATCTAATTTTGTTGTGCAGCCGTTGTCAAAAATTTAACATCAAATGTTTAAATTTGCAATCCCGATCGCGCGATGTGTTGATCCGAAATAGAGTTAAAATTAAATAATTCTACAGAGTGCTATTTAATGTTTCTCCGTTCAATATTAATCCTTTCCAGGTGAAAAATCGCGTTTTAAGGTTCTGGAAAAAGTTAAAACAAACATGCAAGTTGAACCTTGTGAGTAATTTAGCGTCGATGTGATTTACGGTAATGACGTAGTTTGTGCCATTACTGTTATCTGAGAATATAAATGCTACACGAATTACGCGTTGGGATGATCCGATATAAAGTTAAGTAATATATAAACATCAGTTATTTCCAGGACATACGTCGCCAATAATTATGATCTTGGCGCAACGAAGTCTGCGAAGTATTTTACCAGCCATTTGTGAGGGATACACTTTTTACTTGTTGCGGTTAGCCGTGCGAGGTCTTTACGTATGCATGAAGTCGGAGATGCGGAATTACTCTAATCTTCTCGTAATTTATAGCTCCAAAAATGCATCGCATGTAGCGGCTGTAGGTGTAAGGAGACAACTGTGGGCTTGTTAATTAAAACATACTTCCGCGGGATAATTGCGAATTTTTAACAGGTACTTTCCACGATCATTTTGAATTATTTTATTTTTCGTAAGATATATTTTTATTATATTACTTCCTTTCATTATCTTCAGAAATCGCATGTATTTGTAAAAGAGAAATAATTACTTTGGGTACCTAGAGTGGTCGAAAGCAACGAAGACAGCTGTTTTCTAATTTCGAAATCCTTTAGCGGGTTTGAAATGTACGTAATTACGATTTAATGTCAGGAATTAGCAGAATCACTTACGAGTGGTGAAGCTGTGATCCCACCAATCGGTTCTGCAGAGATATGCCTTGAGATCGTCCGCCGTACGAGCGACGATGACGACCGGTGGGGCGACCAGGGTGCGAATCCCCAGGAAGACGCTGAATATCGTGACGATGATGCCCAGTCTCTTCAGCAGGTTCATATCGGTGATCTTGACAGCTTTGGCGGACTTGACGCGAAATATGACGGATATCCTGTAAAACGAAAAGACGAAAATAAAGAATCTTTCACTCTCAATGTCCACGCACGTAGCTTTCCCCTTGTTCCTCGCAAACCAAACCGTGGAAGCCTAGGAAGGAGTTCAACCCAGGAGATTTGGAAGCAAACTCGAAGACCAACGTACGTATCTTTCCCTACCCTATAAAATAACCCACGGTTCTTATTCGGAATTTTTTCTCCAACCCCTTCCGGCACGCGTCCTGGTCCGCAGGTGTAACAAGGGGGGCGCAGGCGAGAGACCATCCCTTGAAATAAGTCAACTGCTGCAAGTGAGCCGACTGATTACTCACACAATGGAAGAGGGCTCCTCCCCCCCTCGTCGAAATGGACCTTTAGGGGAAGAACGGACATTTCTTTCCGAGGACCGGAGGAAGGGAGGCACCCTTCTACGTACTCGGAATACGTTTCGTTTGCGAGCCAACGACTCGGAATATTGTGCGCGCACTTTGGCCGAGAACGCGTATGTGTCAAGGTACGCATACGTGCCTCGATGTACCTATACTCCGACGTACGTACCCCGATGATACCCGGACCCCCGTATACGTACTCCAGCGTGCGTACTCCTCGGCAAGTACGGAAGGTTGTACCCTCGCCGCGATCCCGGAGTCCCGGAAACGCGAATCTACATTCCAACGAGGCGCGGTCGACGTAATATGGAATTTAAGGCCGCCTCGAAGGTAAATTCCTCCCTGGCCGAGCTTCCGGATGCGCGACACTCGTGTATATCGCGTATATCGTTCGTACACGCGCGACAAGAGAGACCAAATCACCGGCTCTCCTGTACCGTGTTCTTTCTTTTCTCATTTTTTTATGCAATTAACTTCCCAGCGAGCTCCGGAGCGCATCGACGTTCCTTCTTTCTGTGCATTGCTCGCTGGCCGTTTAATTGAATAAGTACGCTCATACGCGTCAAACAAGTCGTCCGATTGTTCCGCCATGCGATGCGGATGAAAAATGATTGCACCGATTAATTATGATCGGCGAGTGAACGTCGGAGTAGAGGTTCGTTTTTATTCGCACGAATATAAATTAATTGCCTCTCTCCCTCTGATGGTAACGTTCAAGACAATAATGCGACATGTTTTTGCCTTTTTTGTTATAAACTAAGAATAATTCTTGATCGAAAGATGTTTCGAAAATACTGCAGAAATTGATCGTATTTTTTAAGAGCAGTGATTCCCGTAAATTTGAATATTATATTTCGACTCATTTAACTTGAAGGTAACGCATACCGACCGGATTTTAACGAGGCAGCGATCGTTGATTCCGAGGAGGGTGAGAGGATAAATTATATTTGGTATAATTATCCTCTATACATATATTTGATATCTTCATAAGGATCTACGTAAGATAATCGTCGCGGAGGTACTGGAAGTAACATAATTCTGCTCGATTGTAACATCAAGTTTGCAGATTTATATTGTAAAAAGCCAATATTTTGGAGATTAAATTTCTCTTCTGAATGCAGGTGTATCGTCTGCAGCGAATAATAAAAAAAAAGAGTTTATCCTCGATCCGACGGATTGATCCCTGCCTCGGCTTTTGGGGTACATTTCGATACTTTGTTCCAGCTCGAATAATTAGTTGGACGAGCGCAGCGAGTTAGACGAAATTATCCGTAATACGCTCGCCGACTGTTAATTCAACGGAAGTCCAAGAATCAAAGCGCACTTAGTAAAGCAATTAAGGCTTTGAGCCCTTCGAGCTTCGGTCTGCAATTCCCGGACGAATGTCTGTAACCCATTTCTTCCCGTTCATGCATCGGGATTAATTACGCTCGACAATTAATCCAGAAAATGTATATAATCGTTAACAATTTGTCAATTACTCCGTACGTACGAAATTTCACTTCGCAAAGAAGAGTAATATCTTCTATCCCATTTATCCATTAATGCCGATCTTACGTTCCTCTGTTTGTGCAAATTAAATTCCAGGTATATTTGTTCATACATGTTTATTTTTAACCGTAATTTGCGCAGAAATAACGAAAAACAAAGCATTTCTTCAACGCCCGTTTTCTAAATCACATTAATTTTAATCTTAGAACACGCACGAACAAAAACCGAGGAATCCGCATGCAGGTACAGATAACATTGTACGAGAAATGACTAAAGAGAGAATCACGTAATCACTTAATCGCTGACTCGCAATTTAATGCAAAAATAATTGCATAATTACATAAGTCTCAACTTATACGTACCTCGGTTTGAGCAAATGTAAGTACATTCATAAACGGTTAGCAAAGTGTTTAGGGTGCTTCCGATGGATCGGCGTTTACAGTGAATTACGTGCATAGGTATAGTAAATACCAAAATATAATGAAATGTCGGCAATTATCGTCGATGACGAGCTTCGTCGAGGGTGATAAAGAGAAGTACGGACGAACAAACGAGGAGTGGCGCGTACCCACCCCGACGGCGGCGACGGCGGCGACGGCGGCGACGGCGGCGTCACCGCAATGCACGAGTGTCCAAATCGAGAACCGCAGAACCACACGTGGAGGAGCGAGTGTACCGATTGTTCAATGAAATTCCCCTGCTCTACATTGTACATGGAAATGAAGTTGCCGGCCGCGTGTCCGCGGGGGTGGCTGTCACGGAATTTTGCGTTTCTCCCCAAAGCCGCGGCGACCACTTCCTAATTTACCCCATAAGTGTTACAGTAAAAGGTAACGATCTCTGTATCCCAAATTCCGGAAGACAACTAGTGATCGTCGAAACCAGGACACGATCAAAAACTAAAGCAACAGGTTCGTTTTTTCGTTCTATAGGTACAGGACACGTTTTCGGCCCGTTTTCGTGCTGCCCTGTCCCCGATGAATTTTCTTCGCACCTGCCATTGCTTCAATCCGACGAGGAAAGTTCTTCCCTTCAAATTGGTCTATCGAACGAGTCCGTATCCGCTCGTATCCGCTCGTACCTGCTCGTACCCGATCTATACACGAGGAAACCTTTCATGACCGCCAGTATACCGACGATGTTCCTTCAGCGGGATGGAGAAAACTTATACTGACAATGAGAAAATGTACTTGCTAAGTATAACCAATTTTCGAGCACTTTTGTTTCCGCAGGGCAGATTTTATAAAGTAATATGGTTAACGATAAACCGGTACTCTTTAATTTACCTTTTGATATAAGCTCGTCATGTACAATAGGGCTTTGTGTACCTACGACGAGTCCTTGTCAAGGGCTTACTTTTCAAACGACTTACCTATACTTTCATTCATTAACGTTTATATTGCAATTAATTATTGTTTCGACTGCTGTCATTTCCGTTTTTACTTTCCTTAATAGATACAAATTCTCATATCGTATTCGTGCGTGCGAATAAAACGATTCGAGAAGTTTTTAATTAAAATAAAATTAGCACGCTAGTAAAGGCACGTAATCCAATTTCTCTGCAAAAACAAACTTCGTGATTGACGAAGTATAGAATTTTTAGCGAAAAAGAACTACCAGAAGAGGGAGCATCTTTGCTCGTGGCCACATAAAACCGGCGATCCGTTAAATCCGAACAGCGTAAAAAAATGGATTTCCATGAAGTAATTCGATTAAACGTCCAGGAAAGTCCATCAATTTCGCGATATTGAATCAAATTGACCGAGGGACGAGCTCGGAGGGCACGAATTCTCCTAGGTGTTCACGTGACACCTGGCCAAGGATGAAAAGCGACCAACGCGGAAGGGATTTTGCGTAAAAAATGAATCAGGTATTTCAAACTAAATCCCAATTTCAAACGAGCGACGATTGCGCTGGAAGAGGTTCAATTGAAATATTGGCTGTAGCCTACAACCTGTGGAGAAAACTTGTGCCCAATTGATAACAACGTTGAGTACATTTGAAATGTACTTTTTATATATAATATATTTTTTAGTAGAATTACTCAAATTAAAAAAGAGTGGCGTATTAGTCTTGATATAAAATGAAAGAGTTAGATAAGACTTGGGTCTCGTCGAAGATAATTTAACAGAGAATGTGCGCCAGAAGCAAATGCCAAAGAGTAATGGCTTCGGGGACCAGGGTGCCTTGATGTGGCTCCGCTCTTCGGTAACCTTAATTATTTCGAGGATATCGACGGAGATTGGTTTTCCAAGGACCATTTTCCCGGAGATAAGGTCGACCGAGTTTCCAAAGGCAAAGAATACGTGACACGTATTCGACCGCAAACGAGATTCCTTCGTCTTGTCGGAAGACCCGGAACTCGTAGAAAAACAATGAACATTTGTTTGCAATACAATTTAAGTAAACCGAAACTACGTCATTGTGAAATGCTGATTAACCCTGGTACTCCGAAAATGTTATCACTCCCCGGTAGAAAGTACCTTCAAGAAAGAATGGAAGGATAAAAGAAGCAACATTGGTTTTTATTACCGAACAGAAGGATGTGAAACTTTCTGCATTCGTTTTTTCCCCTACATACACGATCGATTTACGTTAACCTCAGTTACGGATAACACGAGGGAGTTTTAAATATACTTAATTGAATTCCTGATGGAATTTGTATCGGTTCGCCGCCGAGGCATGGAAATGTTTTTGGCTGTTTCATAAATGGTTGAAAGTACAGACGGAGGTGGGGGAGTAAATGGAATCAGAAAAACCCCCAGAAAAAGGGTCTAAATTGAGCTGTGGAATTTTTTAATTTATTTGAGCGATGGAAATCTCCTTCCGTTTTCCTCTCCGTCTGATTTTTCGTTTGTTCATTTAAATGTGTAAATTTGCCCTGCTTTCAAATACGGAGCTATCAAGTGAAGTGACGACTGTATTGCGTGGAACTTTAATCGATTCACTGCTCATTTACATATCGAAGACCGTTAACACGTTGAGTGCGGCGTCGGTCCCTGGGGACCGACAGTGAACTTTCCGTCTGGGCGGCGTCGGTCCCTTGGGACTGACACGGCATCAAGAATCCTATATATAAAAAATTGTGCCGCCCAAACGGAAAGCTCAGCAAAATCGGTTCCGCGCTCAACGTGTTAAAATAGTTTCATGCCCCACAACACAATATGCGGTACAGTTTAAAATTTATTTAAAAATTGCTTATTCTTTTATTATCGAGGGAATGATACGTTGTACAATTATTCTGGGCGTTAGGTAAACTCATTTCTTGGTGCACAACAGAGTCGTAAAATTGGAATTAAGCAACAAAAATCGTTTACGAAACGCGATAGGCTCGAGTGATTTCATCGGGCGATTTTCGCGGCCTATTCTTCCCCAAAGCTGTAAACGGAACAACGGTATCTGTAAGAGCATCGTCCTTTATCGTGTTATTTATGCGCCATTACGCCGGTTATCCTGCATCCTGGGAGAATAGGGGACTTCGCGATCTTGTCGGTCGTTATCCTACCTTCAACTCTTCGACAAAGTTTTTCTTCCGTCATAAATTCTCACCATTTCGATTAGACGACTTTACGACGTGGAAAAATTACGTATTATCCTTGGCGACAACATTAATTTAGATAGTATCATTTCTGCGATAAAAGGGATATACATATACAACAAAAGATGCGGATAACAATGTTTGCTAGACGGACCCTGAACATGCTTCTAGAAATCTTTTTCGAGGGACCATTCTTAATTTCGGAGATAATTTTGAACTGCGCATTAAGGTAAAGAGTAAAGTTCCTTAGTTTTTCCCAATAACCGATTTGGGCGAATTTATATTGGTTCAGTTTATCAGATTCGAGCCATTGATACGCGACGATTAGTCCTAACTTTTTAATTAAACTTTGGCTAAAACTTTCATCCATCCGTGGCGTTCCGCTTTCATGGAAAAGTTCCGAAGAAATCGCGGATATTGGAAGTTTTCCTGGTCCCGAGTTCAACGGGGAAAAATTGGTGTTGGATGAAGCCTTTCCTGTAGTTTATCCTCTTAAATCATTTCATGTCCCGACCGTATATTTCAGCATTGCTGTAAAACCACCTTGCACGAATGTTACTTAACGGCTCTCCTAAACTATTTCATTCAATTGCTATTATCGTTCCATTTAAGCACAGCTGTGAATGAATTTTTCATTATTTAAAAAATTTCCCTTTCTAGGAAAAGAGTTAATTGTTATCGTTTAATCCCTACACCCCCCCGTCTATTGTTTTCATTTGTAGTGCATACCCACCGCCAATTAGATTACAGCCACGGATCAATCTGGATATAATTCAAACTTTTTAATTAACGTGTCATCGAAGCCTCCTCCGCCCCCTTCGCCCAGCTTCTCATTTTTGAACTTTCTAGCCCGGTGACAAACCTGACAATTTCGAAAAAGCTTCCAATCGGGTATGCGAACCCCGGTCGGGGTTGGAATAAACGTTGGAATTGATTTTTCCATCTTAAGTGACTTTCAGAGAAAACGACAGATTGAAGAAAAAATAGCTAAATCGGCTACCTGTTAAAATCTGAAAACGAGCAACACTTACCTCCAGGTTTTCAACATGAGGGCACCGTAGGTGAGAGAAAAGCCAATCTCTCGTAGCCATACTCGTACGGTGCAGGTGACGACGTTTGGTCGGGGGTACATGACGATGGTCTGTAACATCGAGGGAAAATCGATCGTTGGAGCATCAACAGGTGAGAGGGTGCGGAAAAGAGCTCGGGCCTTCACAGGCTTTAATCCCTAGGACACTTCCTCGTTCCTCGTTATTGTTTCCTCCCGGCATACGGCTATGCAAATCGGGAGCATCGCGTGTCGTTGGACGACTCCAAGGGAGTTAAGGGCTGGGTCGCGTTAACCCCTTTTCCTAGTTTTCCTAGGGACCGGAAGAAAGTGCAAGTCCACGCGTCAGGTGTAATTAGGAAGTGGAGACACGCGAGAGAGCGTCTACCCTCAGAGAAAAACCTAGTTAAATCAACTGTTTTTAACTTGTTTTCAGAGTTTAGGTAGGACTCAAATATTTTTTACAGTAAAACTAACTCATGTTCCGAACTACAAAGTATAGTCGATTAGTATAATCTTTTACTTTCTGAAAGTAATAAAATGAATAATTCTGTTTTTACTATAGCCCACGTATCAATTGAATCACAAACAAGTGTTAATGGTGTTAAATTGTTCAGTTTACCAGCTCTTTTGTTTTCAGTGCAGGGACTCGCGTCGTAATCGTTTAAGGGTAAATTGAGGCTCGTTTAGGATTACAGTTGTCTTTTGGAACGGAGGGTAGAAATCAAATCCCGTGAGTTCGCCCTCGATATCACGATCTCATTTTCGCGGAATTTTAACCCCGAATCAACTCCTTTACTTCTTGATGGAATCTCGACGAGTACTTACGGTGCAGTAGATGAAGAATGCACCCAGGGCAATTACGCGCAACAGCACTGGACTTGCTGCTCTGACCACCTGTAACGTGAAAAATGGTTTCTTTTTAATTACAAGACAGCTAAGTAATATAAATTGGATCAAGTCATTGAATTGAAAAAAATAATAACACATTTATCATGTAATTTAAATTTTTTATAATGCTAAGAACTTGATGCGTTGTATGTATTGTTGAATACGATAAAAGAGTATTTGCAAAATGGATATATCCTGCGTGCAATCGTAAAAAGAGTTCATCTGCCTCGATAAGCTTCGATTATTGAGGTACATACGCGGGGACGAATACCGCTCCTTATTTTCTTTCATCCGTTGTTAACCAAGTGTGGATCGTAAATGTTAATTTGTGTTATAAATTGGAGCTTTCAACGTGACAGTAGGACAGGGAATGATGTATCAGCCCGGACAGTTTCGCCGACAATCTCTGAGCATTTCGTCCGATATGCGACAATACAACGGGGATTACTTTTTGACAATTCAAAATGCTGACACATTCATATTTCACACAGTTTTTGAATCGAATGAGTGGTACTCCAAATAGCTCTTAGCATAAATGTATGTAATATCACTTATTCCAAGCATGAACACGCGGGACGCGAATCGTACGAAAATCCAAAGCTTCTTTTTCTTTCGGCAGAACGTTTGTTCAGTCCGGCGGCATATTTGCTTATCCCTTAGTTATCACATTGGGTACGGCGTATCCAAGATATTCCTATACGGTTGTATATTTTTACAGACTGAAACGGGGATGTATTTGGAGCCGTGAGGAGGATAACTGTCTGAACTAGAAATGATTCTTGGCAGAGAAATGTGTTTAAAATCACCGCACAAGAGTCATCGAAAGCTCCTGTCATAGTATGCCATACCTGCACGGAGAAACATAAAAGCCTTAAAGTTACATAAGTCTGTTGGGAATTTTTGTTCTCGGTACAGTTAAAAACTGTTCCATTAACGGATTAATTCAGTTAGCTTTACGTTCTTACATGAACAGTAAGCAGAAACATTTTTGCAAGAGTCATCTGTAATTACAGCTGAAAATGTATATTAATTGAGTAAGTGATTCAGTATTGAACAATTAATGATTTACCAAAAAAGAACAAAATCAAGTATCAACGAAATTAAGATAGCTTCGGAATCACTCGGGGGTTAGGAAGAACTCTGGGTCAATTATTTCGGTCTTTGTTCCAGGGATTTTCCCGGTGAAAGAGACGAGAGGGCGTTCGAGCGGTCCGATGCACAAAACGCGATTCTACTTTGTGTGTCGTCTCTTCTTTTCTACGCTTCTCCCATTGCCCGAGGTTCGTGCACGCGCGAGCGGTGCGCCTAGATTGCTACCCTCTTTGTCCACGATTGCGACTTCTTCCCTTGGGAGAAAAGGCGGCCCGGGAACGCTTTCCCTGGCTTTTCAGGGCGGGCGTTCATCCGCACGCGGCGCGATGCGGCAACCGGCGAGCGGGCTCGTGAAATGGCTCGGAGAGCTTTCGTGCTTTCGTCCCCTTCCGAGATTTGGCAGCGAAAACCTGGCCGCGACGGCGATGCATCAAAGTCGAGTGCACCGCACGGGAGAAACGGTCCGATTAATGGCCCAAGCGGGACTTCCGCGCGTACTGCGCATCGCGGAAAACCGAGGGGGCAAGAACTCCACGTTTTTCTGGAGATCCCACTTCGGGGTAACCTTCGAGGAACTTACGAACTGCCATTTACTTCGAGAGCACGGTAACGAGCGAATATTACCGTAGACATCCTGGGATTAAGGTAGAAAATATTGCTTTTCGGCGATTGCCAAAGAATTTTCGACATCGGGTAGGGTGGGGTAAGTGTGCGCGTTTGTGAAAAAAAGAGGAATGTTTAGAAAAATCAACTAATACTCCTGGTTTATAATTTTACATGACAGATTTCTGAACAATTTCGAAAAAAATTCAATTTTTGGATTCACCGTCAGGTCGCGCCAGCACTTGTCAGGCAAGTAAAAGCTGGATTTCCGGTTGGCAGAGACGATGAAAAATAGGATACGTAACTCGGGAGTTCACTTTTTTCAGGTCGCAAACTCATCCTCGTCCGGAGGCGCCTACTTTGCTCCCTGGATACATAATGTACCGTTTCATCCTCCCTGCAAATCTGAAATTCGGCTTTTAAGTGCCTGTCGAGTGTTGACGCTATTTGCCGATATCGCAGTAAACCGAAAAACCGAGAAATGGAACTTTATGAAAATCTTTACAAATTTGTTATAAACAATTACAAACCATTAATTTGTACGAGGTATTTGTAAATAAGAACACCTCACTTACCACCTCGTCGATCCCAAGAAATTCATACACCACCAACTATCCCAATACTTTCTTTCCTGAATTCTACTTTTATGCTGGCGGAAAATGACTATAATACTTTCCTCCCTCGGAAGGTAAAGTGTGACGTAGCACGTAATAAGTAACTTTCGTCACGCTTGCTAGGCACTGAAAGTGCAACTTTCGGTGGAGGGAGTGTCGAATCATTCGAACACGATCGAAACGCTGCGACCATTTTCACGACCTAACGATCCTCAACGCGCCTCAAAATGTTTCACTCAAAAAGTTGAAAAATGCTTTCGGAGAGACCGCGAAGTTGACTTCAGTGATGCATTTCGATCGGGACCGAGTTGACCCAACGAAATTAGGAGATTCCAGGGTTGTAACGATGGAGTAGCTTCGGTAGTTTCGACCGGATCGGTACACAACTGAATCACGAAGAGTCGTGGGACGAATGTTAAAGGGCGGGTTGCTATCTACATCAAGGATAGAGTTTGCAGGCATAGAGCCCTGCAATCGAGCGGAAATGAACGAGGCCACCGGGGAATGAGGGAGCATCGAGGTTCGATCCTTCGTAAACTTGGAAATTTTAATCCCCTTCCCATCCCTCTGGCTCTACCTATCCCTAGTCAAGATCACGTCCTAGAATTACGATCTCTCGATCTAACTTGGAGGCTGGCGAAACCGCATGTACGCTAAACCTTAACAAGGAAACGAAAATTGCTCGTAGGGACAGGTAATCCCCGCTTGTTACCAATCTCATACTCATTATTAGAAAAATGTTTAGCCACTTGGCTATAATGAAGACCAATTCAACACTTGTCGACTTTTTCGACTTACTATTGTACACGTTATCAAATTCACATTTATAAAATTCGTTCCTCTAATACAGAGGAAAAACTACAGGGTGTATTTAATTATGGTGTACCAATAGCACAGTCAACTCCACGACGGTGACTCGTGACCGTCACTGAGCTTTCCATTTACGTCAAGAAGGTCACCGGTGACCCACATATGTTTTAATAGATACAATTAATAAATTAACCGAATTTACCTGTGAGTGAAATTTTACTGCAATTTTATGAAGCATTCTTCCAAAGAGATCATAATCCAGTACTTTCTTCGGTGTACCGATGTCGATACAAGATTTCAAAGATTTAGATCTTTTCTCGAGCGTGACTCTGCGGCTAGCTTCACCTGTTTCTAATTCATTGAAAGTGTGCCGTAACGATAGACTTAGGGGGTCTAACCAATCAGAACTTACCCAATGTTTTAATTGGGAGGGATTAATCGCTTCACAAAAGGCGCTTCATACAATTACAATAGAACTTGACTTACATGTAAGGGGCTGTTGAGGCGGTGCCCCTATCCTCACGTAACAGCTAGACCTTATCAGGTGGGGGTCGCTGTCAGAGTCAATGACTGCCTCCAGTGACAGGCCATTCAAATTCACCTTCTTCTACGTCTTTTGGCCTCAGGCCATGACCGCGCCACATCGGCTTTTGTGCTGCTCTTTTGGGTTAAGGGAACCTGGGTTCTTTGGATCGTTAGGACGCTTTGATGCCACGTGTCCGTGTTCATCGCACGAGAAGCATTTTACTCCCTTAGACCTGCTGGAACAATCTCGACTCAAATGCTTCCTGTCGTCACAGTTATAGCAATACTTACCTTGTTCGTATACAAATGGTCGGAAACCACGGCAAGGTTTTCCGCTTCCTGTCTGCTTCTGTTTATGGCTATTGGTGGGCGATTTGTTACTCGCGTGCGACTCATAGAAGCTGAAGTTTTTCCTGCGTTCCTTCCTTGTCGATGCTCCGTAAAGTATGGATTTGTTTACTTCGCTGTCCGATACGCCGTCGATGATGTATTGAATTTTCGCTTCCACCTCGATGTCGACATGGCTAACTACTTCCAATACACGCGAAATGTATTCCTCAAACGTCTCACTGAATTTCATCTTCACCGAACTAAGCTCTCGATACACCTGCTTACTATTAACCCACTTTGAGAATTCTCCGGCTAGGGAATTCTTTAAGTTTTTACCCGAATTCGCATGACACTCGAAGCTAGCATACAGTTTCGCGGACCCCTTTGAGAATTTTTCAGCGTAGGTTACCTATCGTACTTCGGACCAGGGGTAAAGGTCTTTTTTAGCCATCAGTAGAAGTTTTGTGTGCCGCATGACCGACGTTTTTTTACGAAGCTCCACTTAAGTGGCTTCGGCCAGTCCGACGCTTTTTTACGAGGCGTCACTATAGCGGCCTTCCTCGTTTCTATGTATTCAAAACGACAAATGAATATCGTATTCATATAAAATATTAGCACTTCACGGCCGAGCTATCCGTACAGGTGGTACATCTCCACGTTCACCCCGCACCGTCAGTTAAAGGGTTAACTCGGTTAAGGGCTCTACACGTGTTCATTTTTTTGCAACAGAGTCCCCACCATTTTTTTAGACAGTCATATTGTCTCATAGATGAGTCGCTCAGCGAGGCCAGCATTATATCGGTTTCTTCTTCCGATACCGATCTTCGTTTAAATCCTTCCCCGATAAGATTCCCGCAATCAGGGTAATTTATTTTCAAAGTTGATGAGGTGCTTTATCAAAATATCGTAATAGCTTTTTATCAAGATTGAAAAACATTTGTTTCAATTTCAATAAAGACATATAGATCAGAAACCGTGGCTGAGCCGGCCTGTATAATACAAATAAGATTCCTCTCGCTTTCTCGAAACTAA